TTTTAAACATATTTTTTAAAAAAAAAAAACATAAAACTGTACTTAGATTACAATTTATACAATTAATATGTTAGTTAACAATTCACAAGCAATATCTCTAATATACTTTAAAGTGCACCAATAGATTTAACTTGAAACAAAAGATTTTAATAAATTATATTTATTTTTTAAACATAAAAAAACATTTAAAAATCTATTTAAAATAAAATAATAATTTTTTGAGCAAATAAATCGTTTGTTTTGTATTGTTAAATATAAAACTTGTTTTTTTCAATCCTGGTTATTAGATGCTACAATCGGTTTATGATGGTCAAATAGTAAAATATACCTACTACATGCCATAATAATATAATTATTGTAATTGTATTAAACTCGATTCAACGTTGTATTAGTATCGATCGTTTTATTATATAATGTTGTTTTCGGTGAAACAATTAGTTAGCTTCCGCCACTAATAAGATACATTTATCAATATGACCACCTTACCGTGTACGCTTACTATTATACCAATAAATACATCTATATTCTCGTTGAATATTGGTATATACAATGTATAAACCATTGTAAATACAATGTATCGATAATTACGACAACCCTTTGTGGTCTCTCTTTCAGAATTTGGCTGAAATAGACAAATGGGGTATCGATATATTCCGGATAGCCGACCTGACCAACAACCGGCCGCTGACGGCTATAGCTTATACCGTGTTCCAGGTAACCACAACAACAGCAACACTAATAATAATGACAGTAAAGGTGGCAAGGAGGAGACTACAGCTGGGATACTTGCAACACAGTTGTAGTCTCATCGCTCGTTCGCCACGTTGTTAACTGAATGGTTCGGACTAATGGCGGCTATTTATTTTTATCTTTCTCAGAACCGAGAGCTATTGAAAACGTTCATGATTCCGGCAAAAACATTCGTTGCGTTCATGATGACTCTAGAGGATCATTACGCCAAAGACAATCCTTTCCACAACAGCACTCATGCGGCGGATGTCGTTCAGTCCACCAACGTTTTGCTGAACTCCCCGGCATTGGAGGTGAGCAGAATCGCAAAAACCTCTCACACCTATAAGTTCATATTAAATTATATCATTAAGGCGAAATTAGAACTTGATACGTCGCATGATGGTGCTATGAAACTATTAAATTGTACAATAAATGATCATTTGTTTTTTTTTTTTTTCAGAGTGTTTTTACTCCACTGGAAATCACCGCTGCCCTTTTCGCGGCCGCCATACACGATGTAGACCATCCCGGACTGACCAATCAGTTTCTCATCAACTCAAGTAAATAGCACTTGAAAAATGTAATACATAATACATTATAATGACATTTTTCGTTTTTGTTTTTTTTACATAGGTTCTGAATTAGCTCTGATGTATAATGACGAGTCCGTGCTGGAAAACCATCATTTAGCAGTTGCTTTCAAACTTTTACAAAATGACGGATGTGATATATTCCAGAATATCAATAAAAAACAAAGGCAGACTTTGAGAAAAATGGTTATCGATATGGTAAGACTGTCTAGTTATTGTTTCTCATAGTACGGGTATAATAATAATTGTTATCTTTATTAATGACATTTTTCGAACTATTTTTTATACGCATAAAGGTACTTTCCACTGACATGTCAAAACATATGAGTTTGTTGGCTGACCTAAAAACTATGGTGGAAACAAAAAAAGTTGCTGGTTCTGGCGTATTGCTGTTGGACAATTACACCGATAGAATACAAGTAAACCATACCACTGCATTGACGCTTACGATACAAAACATAATAATACTATAAAATAATTTATATTTATATAAATATTAATGTTAAAATGCAGTACACAGTCGAGATATCAAAACATATTACAATATATGTATGTATACGTTTTTTGAACAGGTCTTGCAAAACTTGGTACATTGCGCAGACTTAAGTAACCCCACCAAACCGTTGGAACTATATAAACGATGGGTCGATCTGTTGATGGAAGAATTTTTCCAGCAGGGTGACAAAGAGCGAGAACAAAACCTAGACATCAGTCCTATGTGCGACAGGCACAGTGCTACGATCGAAAAATCACAGGTATAATAGCAACTGAACGTACACGAAACTTTAACAACGATGATGTCGACCGTACCATTAAACTATTGTTTCGTTTTTTGCACGCAGGTCGGATTTATTGATTACATCGTACACCCTCTGTGGGAAACGTGGGCTGACTTAGTGCATCCCGATGCCCAAGAAATACTCGATACCCTCGAAGAAAACAGAGACTGGTACCAGAGTGAGTATATAATTAAATATTATTGTTTCATATAAATGTGTTTGCGGTATGTTTCCCTCTTAATGATACACGTCGTCGTTGTCTTCGTTTTCATTGTCACGACAATTGTGGGAAACGTTCGTATATGGTAATAAAGTATGTAAATTATTCTAAGGTTTTACGTGCTACAGGTATGATTCCGCCCAGTCCACCTGCTGAAGAATCCGAAGACCGCGAGAGTGGTGACGATGATGAATCGAAGCCCTCTGCTAGTGATCAGGACCCGAACATCAGGTTCCACGTGACGCTTGAGGAAGGTGATGAAGATTCGGTGGCCGCGATGTGACGCAAACTAGTCGGCTGGTGTCGCAAATTGGGCGAAAAAGTCAACTCCTGGTGGAGGACCAAACAATGAGCAAAACAATTAGCGACTCACCTGGTCCTCGTCTTGGAAAAAAAAATCAAAAAATCACAGCGCCCCTTATCCCCAAGAATTACACGGTGTGTCCGTGTATCTGTGTGTATGCGTGTGCGTGTATGGAATCTATCTAAACCGCTTTTTTCTGTCTATGTAAAAAAAAAAAAAAACCAAGTTTAAAAAAAAGATAATGATTAATGATAATAATAAATGAAAATGAAAAAAAAATTAATTAACTGCAAATTCCTTAAATCTCATTTACATATAGTTATAATAAAATATATAAAACGCGAATAAAAAAAAAAACTTTATTATTATTAATAATTTGATGTAATTTTGTTGTTATACATTTAGGTACGTATTATTAATTATTAATTAATTTTAGCTTGTGTTGTTCGGAGAGAGAATTTGCTCGTTTGTTTGTTTGTTTTTATTATTATTGAATACCGTTTTCGTAGTTGTTCTTCGTTTGATTTTTCAAATAATTATCGTTCTTGTTTAGTCATTATTTTAATATTTATTGATGTTATAGCTGTTTAATAAAAAAAAAAAAAAATTATGTTATCCATAAGAATATAAACAATTAACTATTATCATAATTAATAGTTATATTATTAATCTAATATCTTTCGGACATATAATTTTAAGTAATATAAACAAATGTATATCCCTGAAAATGAACCTAACCTGATTAAAATATCGTATGATTAATTAATAACATGGATTTTCTGATCATAATATAAGCAATGGAATTTTGGCTTTGATAATTTTTTTTATACATATATATGTATTTTTTTTTTTTACCTGTATTATTCAAGTTACTATAAAAAATATATATATATACAACACTCTAATTTAGATTTTTACCATTTCCAAGCATATTTCGATCATATTTAAATGTATAGTTTGGTGTACTACTATTAGTACTTAAAAAAATCTGAAATCAAAAATCTATAATCAAATTGTAACTTAGAAAATGGGATTTCATTCAATTTTAAGAATTTTCTTGTATAAACTATGAATCATTGGTAAAATATCTTATGTTTATAATTGTACCAAGTCTAAATAAAAATCTATAACATGACTTAAAACTATTTTTTCATCATCATAATTTTTACATATTTTAACATTTTTGTTTACTATTGTCTGTATTAAACGACATGCGCTAAAATGTCTCTAACTTTCGATCAAGACTGTGATTTTCTTTTGCCTACTTACCATAATCTATATACGTTACTTTTCCGGTTGGGTTCATACATTTTCCGTTGTATTCTAATAGATTCAAAAATGTTTATTATATTTGCATATTCCATTTGTCAATTCACTTGCATTTCTCATCCGATAGTATTTTATTTATTATTTACTATTTAGGTATACTTGCAAATGTAATGTTACCTTTCTTTGTATTTATAAATGTGTATAATATACATATATATATATATATATATGTGTGTGTGTACATTTAATGAATATAATAATTATTAGTATATATTCATTTTATAATTTAAACGACTAGTCAATTTTTCGCCAAATATTTGTACAAATTTTAATACCCTCCCTGCCCCTTCATCACCATTTTTAAGTTAATTTAATATTCTTTTTTCTAAAAACCACATTTGTCTATTGACTGTCTATTTTATATAAGCTTGGTAATTCAGGGTCCCCGATTTTTGTCCAAATTCCTATTTACATTTTTTTTTTTTATAATATATATATACATATATACATATATATATATATTTAATATATAATTAATAATAAATACTAAACGTGTAAATAATATACGTCTCTTCCTATTTTATGTGTAAAATAAATACAATAGATACATATATATTATCATAATATATGTACAATATATAATATATATGTATATATATATATATTCCATTTAAATTACGGAGAATATCTTTCGCGAGCCTTAGTTATTGTCATATTATTAAAATATCATATTTTGCATCTGTTGATAACACACATCCTAATTACATAATATTATATAACAATACACTACGGCCGTTTAGTGTGTACCACTTTGTTTGTTTCTAAAGGATCTAACGAGCGGTGCTTAATTAATAATTTGAATTTAAGAACAATTTTATTTATCTGTGTTGTATTCAAAGTTAAATGCACATCAAGTATATATATATTTATATATTATATGAGCATACATCATACGTGTCTGTATGTGTTTATAAAAATATATATATTTACATAAATATTATTATTATTATTATTATTATTATTATTATTATTATTATTATAATGTCTATAGGTCTGTAATTTTGTACCAAATAGATCGAATAAAATATGAAAAACTCGGTACAATATATTGGTGTTAATAATTTATATTGGTGTTTATATTATATATAATAATAAATACTAAAACTGCAGGCGAAAGCCACGGGCGTTTGCATTTTAATCCGACGGAAACTTGCCGATTTCGGACCAAATACGTTTCAAAGTTTTTCCGTTGTTGCCAATCAACGCCATATCATGTTCATAGTAAAAAATCATGATTCTACAGAAACAAAAAAATAAATGAACATAATTAGTGAAATCAAATCGTCTCTATACCATCCATTCAACAGAAACTTTATGAAAGTTATAATAATCATATAAGCAATAATTAATAGCAAGAGTCTGTGCAATTTACATAATAATACATTTTTTTCAATATCAAAGTGTAGCTATTTTTTTTTTATGGAGTTGTAATTATGGTAATATGATAAGTACTCAGCTGTATGTATGAGCATCAACATCATTAAATAATGTTGACATTTTTGCATCCTAAAACATGTTTCAGCGAATGTTATAAATAACAAGCAGTTGTAGCAAAACTGTTTACAAAACATTAATGCGTTAAATAATACAATGTTCCCGGTATAATCGTGCGTAGATAATATTCTACTCAAACAGTTATAAAAACTGTGATAACTATCTCTTGTGGACAACTTTTAAAAACGCTTGTCCATCAATGTTTTATAATGTCATGTGCGCAAATATCGTTGGACGAATCACATTTTTAAATATATATGTCATAATAGACATTGCTTACATCACATAGTGTTACCACTGACCGTATTATTTAGTAAACGAACGTTAGTGGTATAATGGATCGGCAAACACGATCAATTAATATAGGTAATGGTTTTGATAAATCACTTACAGCGGAGGTGTGAAGGTGAGAACTATAATCGTGCATTATGACGTGTTATATTATAACAGATAGTCGGACGTTGTGACAAGTGCTTAAGTTAATAATATACATAGTTAGAGGTACCAACGCGTCAGAGAATATTGAAAAATCATTACGAGAGCGAATAGCGATAAATCGAAATAAGAAATAAAACTTATACATATAGTTGTGTTAACTCTTAATCATTTATGTAATGATATAGTATTCAGTAAATAGTGTAACAGTAATATTATATGACATTACAATTATCACTGTTATCAGTACTATCATTATATTAAGTTAAATATTTACCATCATACTCGTTAAATATTTATTTAATATGCACTTAATGATTTGATAATTTCAAATACATATTTTGAAACCTATTTATTTTATAATACGCAACAATATTGTGTTGTACATGGATCGTATAGATCTTATATTATTGGCTTTATGGGCGTCATCTATAAGGTATTGGAAATAACCCTAAACAAACATATTTTATATTCGAGTCAAAGGTTTCATTGTACTGAGAACGCTCACCACAAAATATTTAAAACACGATTAAATATTAACATAATACTATTATGTATGTAAAACTCAATTTTATCTATGTGTCGGTTAAGTATAAATGTACTATAATTAACAAATTTTACAATACTTATATTTATCATAAGTCCCATATTACCCTAATTTAATAACTGTGACTAATCAATACATCTTGGTACCGATTTTCAACCACAATATTTAAGGAATATATGCCCGAAAATTGAAATTATATTCGTAAGTGTATTGCTAACGAAAAAAAAAAATTTATATGTATACTGATTACTGACGTGTCGTGATCTCACAATGATGTTGTTTAGCAATACAGTACTTATGGAACAAACTGTATAATGTACGTAGATACTATAATAATAAAACTTTTTTTATGTTCCTATAATTTTGTATAAGTCCTAATAAATCATTTTTAATTTATTTTTCGATAGCATTTTGATAATATAATATTATAATATTATCGTATACTATTAAAATAAGACGATATGCACTTCAAATTTTACGATCAAAATTCGAATAATTATTTCTTCATAGACGATAAAAAAAAAAAAAAAAATAATGAGAGAACTAATAATAATTTACAAAGCTCTATTAAATCTAATATAATCTACTATTCTGTTTAGAAAATCATAGTAAAAATAATTTTACCGAAAATCGAAAAACCTTACAACTTTACAAACACTTATAATATTATTCTGCTTCCTACCTTATTGATACGTAATTTTGAAAATATTCTTATCCAGCATTCCATCAATATTATTTTAACACTATGTGCCGTAAGTGAATATAAAATACGTAATTGTGACTGATTGACAGATTCACGCACGCTGCTATATATTATTATATTATAGTATATAATTAAACTCAAGTTATATAACTTATAATACCACTATTTCCTTCTGGATCATGAATCTGTTTTGAATTAACAGGATTGTATATAAGCTGAATAATTATGTTTCTTATCAAGTGCAGATTCTTTCTTAAATACTGCAGTTCAGTTATTTAAATAATACTATAATTTATTCAATCTATATGTTTGTCGATACCATAACGTCTGCGTTTGAAAACGAATACTACTAAGCTGGATTAATTTTTTTACACTGTACTAGTGTCAGTTACTTACAAAATATTAAACAACTTATAAAACAACTTGAAAATTTAAAATGTCACATAGCCATTAGTTAAAATCGTCTATACTAATTCATATAAAAGTTCAATGTAAATGCAATTAAAGTAAATCATTGAAATCACGCATGTTTCCCACTTATAAATACACAAACTAGTCTCTTCGAAGACTTTAAACGTTATCTAAAGAAATTGTGAAATTATAAATGTATGTGATCGTTTTAGATTAGGTACCTAATACCTTATATTTATTCAATAATATTGCTCTTATTTGTTTACTATATCTTGTAATTATTTAATATGATATATAGCTATACATTTTTTCTGATATAAAGTACGTAATGATATTTAAATACCTCTTTCATTAAGTTAGTACTTGATTTTGGTTGCGTTATATAAAATCTTACGCTAGTTAATCTAATTAAAAAATGTGAGCGTTTACGGAAACGATTTTCAAAAACGATAGCTTCTAAGTTAGAAATTTGAGATCAATTCTTTGAGAACATTTTAAAATATTATGTTTTATACAGTTTACAGGAAATAAGTTTATATTTGAACTTTTATTAGTTTCTAAGCTAATAAAAGGCAAAATTATCGTCCTATATTTTCAGAGAAAATTAAATTTAAAATCCCAGTTTTCAGCATCAAAACTTCACCTCCCTTGTTCTCTAAATAAAATTATGTACTTTTTTAATTCAAAAGGTCGTATTTTAAATTAGTGAGTCCGTGACCTATAAATAAAATGTATTTTTATTTTTATACATTACTTAAATTAAATATTATATTTTTAATTCTTAATATTGTATATACATTACCACTGCATTTAGAGCCTTATAAATGTCAGTTATAAATTAATAACAAATAATTTTATATTTTAATACCCTATAAAAAATAACTGCTCTCAACGTGCATATCGATCAGTTGACAACGTATTTGTTGAAAATATTACTAATAGATAATAATAATCTTAAAGTCATAATAGTTTATTCCTAAAAACTTTGTTAATCAAAGTATTTATTTTTTAATTGCGACCCAAAAATAAGACGTGTACATTATTATTAATTTTCTAAATAAAATTGGTGAAAGGAGATATGTTATTTAATCCAGTGGATTGCCGAGTATATTATATTATATATCTAGATCAGACACTCGTTATATTACTATAGATTATATTTTTATCACCTTCGTTTCATATGCAGGCGTAAGTTACCTGGACTTGTGAACGCCAAGCGCGTTTTGCAGATATTCACTGATTGTCGCCACGTATTGTTCGATTACCTCTTCGTCGATTGGCATGTCTGGCCGCAGCGACCCTCTGGTCAATTTCATCACGATACAAGGATCACTTGATCCGGAAAAATCAAACTCCTGTCCAGATCGAAGTTGACCCATGATAACCTGCAGTACAAAACCAATACAAAATAATATTACATTATTTAATGCGATAAAAAAGTTTTATTTTTAAAATCGCAAAACTTTAGCGACAAAAATATAGTTCCTTAAGTCAATAAAAATCACTATACATAAAAAGAACATTTTTCATTAATTGAATGTTCATGTTTGGTGCTCTACTGGCACCAAATGAAACTAATGGTACTATGGAAAAAAAAAACACTGATTTGTTTTATACATTTAATACATGGTTTCAAACTGCAATCCACTTTTTAAGCAATTTTTGTTTTAATTTTTTTTTCTATACTAAGTTCATAATATATTAACTTAACCAATCTTTCTACATTTAATTTCCAACTCTTCTATGTATACTAATAGCCACAAGTCTTAAGTTTTTAACGCTTATCAATCATTTTTATAATGTCACTTATTAAGTTATTATACAGTCTATTTAAAATGTATATACCTATGATAATATATTATCTACTCATGAAATAATATATTATAATGTATAATATTATACAATATAAACAGGGCGAGATTTCTCGTACGTTTCCTAATCACGCGTTGCATACATAATAAATACATTAATAATATATTGTTAGGTATATACTATTGTTATACCTACCTATCGGCTGCGTTGCTTCGAATACAGATCGGTAGATTACGTAAAACAAAAAAAAAAAAAAATTAATAATCAATCGAATTCATTGACAATATAATATAGTAGAAAATAATTATTGTTTTCGGTGACAATAACTATAATATATGGACATGACGGTGAAAGTTGACGATGGTAGAAGGGACAGGTTGTAGGAGAGAATAATAATATTATATTATGCGCCAAAAACGTTTATAAAAGTATACAAATTACTTCTTCAATAATATAATTATCATTTTCTTATGACTGTCACATAACCACGATAGCCAATCAAAAATTATAATATATATACCTATATAAAAGAAAATGGTACACAGTTCATTAGTCCAATGAAAATTTGATCATTTAAAATAACTTATTATAAGTAATCGTAATATATAAGTATTAGGTAATAGGTATGTATTTTGCATCTCTTAAAAAAAATATCATGCATTTTTAATAATAGCCTTCATAAGTATTTTTTTTTAATTATAAAATTTATACCTTATCAACACTACACTATATACGGAAAGGTGAAGTTGTCACCTTCTTTATATCAAACTAATAGCCTTGATTTGGTTAATTTCTGGTATAATGTTTGAAATTATAATTTTTAATTTCAGAGTATCATTTTAAATGTTTCAAACACATTCAAATTTTTAAAAAACAATTAAATAACTTGTATACAATAAAATACATAAACAATACAATTAATATTATACAAATTTAAATTTTTTAATAACAGATTAATCAAAAAAATTAATACCGCGAACAGTCTGCGAATACAAGCGAACAACGTAAAAACTAGATAAATCTTAGCAATATATATATATATATATATATGACATAAATACAATTATATTTTCTACAAAGTTATTAATATTGTAGAAAATAAAATTAACCAATATAATATATAGCTGAATATGTTTAAGTAACTATATAATTATTTTATCAGTGATATGCTAAAGAAATCATTTTCATTTTTAATTGGCTATTAATATATAATAATAAATAATTTTTTGATTAATTTATGTAAATATTACTTGTCAAGTTAAAATTGTAATTTTTGGTTTTAATAGTTTTATACTGAAAACATGATTTTAAATAAAAAATAGTATAATATTATATAATAATAGTAATAATACCATAAATTGTGTTATATTTCTTGACAAAATAATATTATTTATAAATTATAGTATTTAAAAGTACTCGTTATGTTAACTACTTATTAATTAAAAATTGAGTGAATTTTTTTTTTTAAATTCTGGTAATCCAATATTTTTTTTAAATTAAATTTAAACTTTCAGAGTTAAGTTTATTATTTATGAACTATTAACTTAAACTAATAACGATGTTATGTTCAATCAATTGAATTATTACCTCGAATTATTTTTTAGTTATCAATAACTTACCCAAATATTTGATTAATAATTTGTGCATAATTGTAAATATTCACCTTCTTAGGCCGGTTGAACAGCGTGCATAGGAAGTCAGAAGTACCAGAAAGAAAACCATCGGGCAATTGACTAGCTGCCAAATTTGTGTCAATGGTGTAACTCATACTATTTTTCTATATTATTACGCTTTATTCACAAAAACGCCGACTAAATATATAATGTGACTCGTATAATATTATAGGTTATATTATTAGTATGTGTATAATAATTGCGTTATGGTACGATAAGGTATATAATGCACTTACGACAAAACGATCACTAATTTATAATATAATAATATTTTAATGAACACTATGATTGTATAACCGGTGCGCGTGGACCAACAATAATGCTCTTGACCCCAAAAATAACATTCACGCAGTGTTTTTTTTTTTACTTTTTACATACCTATTACGATTATATAAAAGTAGTTTTTATGGACATTCTTTTAATACTTCATAAAATTGTTGAAATCATTCATGCATAATATAAGTGTTATATTGATAAATATACATCATGACAAATATATAAGTTTGGAAATCAACCCCCGCACCACCATCATGGAAAAATTAAAATAATCTGCTCTTTTCACTATACTTCTAAAAAAAAAATACAAACAATTTTAAAACATAATATATTCGTTTATAACCAACCTATATTCTATCTATAACTTGCAAAAATAAAAGGAACTACTTTTATTAATTATTAATAAGTTTTAATATCTAATATATTAACTTGGATGCAAATAAAATATTGATAAGCACTTGACGTCAATTTTATCTGTTCGAAAATAAATCATCTGACATGATTGTAACATATACTTAGATACTACACTATACTCAAAACTAAAACACGATGGTGAAGTAAAAACCCCACATGAAACGATAAAATATAGATTTTAATTACAATATCATAAATATGACTTGGACGTCTAATTATTTTAATTAATAAATACAATATATGTATATTATAAAATTAGACGTTTTCAAACTCGTTATTATACTACAAAAAATGAGAACACTTTTTCACAAGCTGCTGGAGTCCAATATGTCCTGCAGTTAATATTATCTTCTCAAAATAAGCTATTTCATTTTTTTTTTTTTTTTAATTAGTTATACTACATATATATATTTAGATTTTTAACTGATGTTTGCAGTTCAATTCTTAAGTGAACAACAAATTTTAATGAGTTCTACACAGGTGATTTTATTTTTTTTATATATTTTTTATTTTTTTTTTTTTTTTTTTTAATAACAAGAACACTGTACGATGACTTACAATTTTTCAGTACAACGTAGAACGTAGATTTTTTTGAAATTTATCTCCTTAAAATACAAAACTAATTTTTTTTTAAAAATGTCGTTTCTTTATCATGATAATGTTATGATTCAAAAGTATTTATATTTAACATCTATAATTAATAACTAATCAACTGTGAGTGTCCACAGATAGGGGGGGGGGAACGAGACACTCGTCCCTCTCTAGAATTTTAAATTTGTTACCTAATTATAATAATTTAATGTAATAATCACAAAACATAATAATTTTCTAAACATAAAATCTATAACAATATTAATTAATAGTAATAATAACAAAACATAATAATGTACTCTTTTTTTATTTTTTAAATTCATTTTTACCCCCTCCCCTCTAGAAAAATATCTGGAGATCCCCATGTAGTCAATACTGGTTGGTTTGGCCAACACTGTATAAGGCGAGGTAAAATAACCCACGTTTCCTTTGACTCATACTATACATATTTATACTCTAACACAATTTAGTGTTTAAGAGAATTAAATTAATTCAATTTTTTATCAAAATAAACCTATATTAGTACAACTGCACAGACTATCCTAGTAATCGGACACAATTTCTAAAAACATATTTAAATTAATCGTAATTCGTAAAGTTTACTTCAAAGCAACTTTTCCACCTTTTTTTTTTAATTGAATCCTTTGAATTTAGATTTTTAAATTTTAAACATCAAGAGTTTTAATAATATGATTTAAAAAAATTAATAGCTTAAAAATTTAAAAGTTATATTCAAGTAAATTATATCAAAATATCAAATATATACTCAAAAATGTTATCTAATAAATATATTAAATTTCATAACTGCATTTAAAAGATTGATACTTTTGACTAAACAGTCTAAACATATAATAATAATTAATTAATATTTGTATAGTACTGTAGTGCGGTATTAACATATGCGAGCACTCCGCTCTTTATTTAACACACGATAATATTAACTAATGGTTATTTATTGTGCACACATTTGTATGATCCACACTTACACATATAGAAAAAACAACCTATATTATTGAACTATTTTACATACAATATTGAATACTCTTAATATCAAAGGTCAGTCTATCATGAAAAAAAAAAATGTGTTACATAATGCATATCGTCTAAAACACTTTTATTAAATTAAAACCGACACATGACATTTCACGAAGCCCATGTGATAGCCTTTTACCGTGATCATAACATACTCTTGCGGAATTTTATGATATTAGCGAAACTCACTTCGTACACGTTGCGATGGCAGCGACGGTAATAAGATATTATGTAGTCTTCACACGATTTGTTTTCTAGAGCCTACCTATATTAGTGACTTACACACTAAAATATATTATATTTTTATTATAATTTTAATAGCTATCTATAGTACCTATTGGACATTGAATATATTATTTTCGTTGTTAAGTTTTTACTCTGCAGACATAAAGTCGATTTAGGTTCAGTATTCCAACATTTCGTAATAGTACGGAACGCAATGGTATGCATTTTGTACAATATGTATCAAGGTACCTATATCAGGCCATGAAAGAGCAGGACACTCTGTGAATACAAATTGCTTGCCGTTTGTTATACAATAAGTGTTTATAAAAATAAAATAATTACTTACTACAACCACGTACGGGTATAAATGTTTATCAATATTTAACCGAACTCGCTTTCCAAGGCGTTTTGTATAGGCAAATTAAGTGTATATTTCTGTGTTTGGGGTATTGACATTGATTTTCCAAACACTGCTATACGGCGTAAGTATATCATGGGTAATTCTCTCGGATAATAAACCTCATGTACCATTTCGTAATAATATGATCACCAGAACTAACAAAACTCGAATATTATAATACGAATAAGATATTATTTTGCATAAACAATAGGGTGAGATCATATTTACAAGTATATAAAAAACGAGATTAACTATTTTAGCTCAACTTTAAAAAAGCCTCTACAATTTTTAATGATCTCTATATTTTGAATAATATTTTAGAGATAATTTATGCCAAATACCTATTTTATGTGATAAATTTCACTTCTGTAGAGATTCATGGTACTTCTGGTATTCTTGGATTACTGCACACATTTGATAGGAGCTAATGTGTACTAAATTGCAAACTTAACTTGCGCATTTTGATAATACGAGTATGTTCTCACTTCTCATCATACACAATTCTTTATCCTTTAATGTTATAAAACTTTAGTAACATACAATTGTTATACTTCTGTGTCCTTAACAGAGTGATTATTAGAACGTGAAATTCATCTAGTTGGAACGATGAAAATAAACCAAAAAGATTTACCGTTAGAAGTAGTGAAGGCTAAAATAAAAAAGGCAAAATTAATGAAAAATAAAATAAAAATGGTTTGGTATTCATGAAGTAGAAAGATAAACAAAATGTAAACAGCTTAAATACATGTCATAATTTAAATATTGTAAAGCTGAAAAAAAAATAAAAACAGAAAAATTTAAAAGCAGAAGTCATATTTTACTACCTATAATAATGATAAAGGGGACATAGATTAATACAATCAATTATCAAGTTATTCTACACTAGTTAAAAAATCAATCTGCCTTCATATTAAAGTTGCATATAAAATATTACTATAGGGACATCGATTGTAAATACTGATATGATTTGGAAAATTCATAACTCCAATAATATTTCAATAGAAGAGTTCAAAGTGACATTAACTAAAAACTTCTTAATTTAATTACTAACCCACAAATCATACAGTAAAAACACCAACTGGAAACTTCAAAAGTAATTGATCAAAGAAACAGAAAACTTAGGAAATGTGTTAATTACTATGTAAAAGCAAGAAAAGGAGGTTGTTTATTCAAAGAGGTTAAAAACTTTGTGTCATAGGTTTTTACATTTTGTTTTGAGTGTGAAGAAAACCCATTTATTTGTATGGAATTTTTTTTAATACCTACTCCACATAAATTTTAATTGGTTTTAACTTTAAAATATTTTGTAAGAACATTTTTTTTATTTATACACAATATATTTTATATACCTATGTAATCCATGTATTTATTTATTTTATATTAATAGAGCAGCATAGCTACTCCTAATCTCCAGCAATAAGAGGGGATTCTTGCTCCCCCCCCCCCTAGAATTTTAAATTGTTTACCTATAATTGTAATAATTTAATGTAATAATTCCGAAACATAATGATGTTCTATAAATAAAACGTATAATAAATAATAATAATACCTAATTGTAATAATGACAAAACATAATAATGTACTATAAATAAAATTTATAGAAAAATGTTCATTTATTTTTTAAATTAATTCCCCACCCCCTAGAAAAATGTCTGGAGACGCCTATGCAGAGAAGTACACATGGTTATTTATTTTGATAACTATAAACTAAAAACCATAAATATATTTTTTAAGTAATACTGTCAATAAATAGATTTGTTATTTTTTATTTGGTATTTAATATTTTTTATGAATAGTAAAATAATAAATGTATTAAATAATTATACTAATTAAGTAAATATTTAACAGGTATATTAAAATATTAAAATGTATTAAAGCGATAAAGTTGAGTGAAAATAATTTAATTTAAATGAAACAAATCTGATACGTTTAATAGATATGTTTCTGTAATTTATGTTCTAAACTTTTAAATAAAAAAACTAAATTCATAATTGGCTTACTAATTTTATTTTCCATTTAAAATAAACGTTGATCAAGTGGTGATCACTCGTGACCCAGTAATAAGAACGATGGGTAGGGCCGGTGATCTTCATGGCATCGTATAAATAATTGAGCAGAGATCACTGGCACTACTCGTGGCAGCTAGCGTGTGTTACGATGCTGTGACATTATCATTTATTATACTCTCATAGGCATCAACATGATTTGTATCCGTTCGTCGTTTTATGACCAGCCGTGCGTCCTGTTTCACATTGTTACGATTATTACAAATTTTGATTGTGGTTAGATAACTATCAACGTTGCAGTACGATATTTGAACATGCTTGTTCG